TTCTCCAGGAGAATGCTGTGGGAAAAGGTGTCTAAGGCTTTACTGAAGTCCAGGTAGACAACATCCACAGCCTTTGTCTCATCCACTAAGCAGGTCACATTGTCACAAAAGAAGATCAGGTTAGTCAAGCAGGACCTGCCTTTCATAAACCCATGCTGACTGGGCCTGATCAGCTCGTTGTCCTGTACGTGCCATGTGACGGCACTCAGGATGACCTGCTCCATGACCTTCCCCAGCAGGGGAGGTCACACTGGCAGGCCTGTAGTTCCCTGGATCCTCCTTCCAGTCCTTCTTGTAGATGGGCTTCACATTTGCTAACCTCCAGTTCACTGGGACCTCCCCAGTTAGCCAGGACTGCTGATAAACGATTGAAAGTGTCTTGGTGAGCACTTCCACCAGCTTCCCCAGTACTCTTCGGTGGATTCCATCTGGTCCCATAGACTTGTGTATGTCTAAGTGGTGTAGCAGGTCGCTAACCGTTTCCCCTTGGGTTATGGAGGCTTCATTCTGCTCCCTGTCTCTGTCTTCTAGCTCAGGGGAATATTCTTAAAAGTTGAAAATAAAGTGGAAAAAGAAATGAGAGCGCATTTGTATTGAAATTCAGGCAAGGCAGGGTGAGACCAGTTTAAATGTAGCAGATTTTAATGAGTATATACATATAGTATTGCTTGAGTGTTTTGCAGAAGATTCACTTACCATAAAAGCCCATCTTCATGGACAACTTCTCCAAATGGTATGGGAGATCCTCTGTAGTAGCAGGGGCATTCATTAGCAGGCACACATTTGCCACTCTCATCCATGTAAGTTCCATTTACGCAGGTGCAACCATCAACTGGGACAAACTTAATGTTGCATGTGACATCAGGCTCACTCAGAGACCGACAAGTGGGTTGACAGGACGAGATGTCATAGCTGTAGCTTAGGGATTTGGGACATGAGGTGGTGTATTTTGCTTGAGATAGGAAAATAGAACAGGTTTGTTAATCCCAGATGGTAATTTCTGGTGGGGAAAAAGAAACCATAGGTAGTAGAAATAACATGTAAACAATACTGTATACCTCTGCCTATATTGCATCTTTCATGTAAATGTATTTCTGAATACTTTCATAGTTAGACCTGAAAAGCTACTGTACAAGTGGAATAAGTGACGCATGCAAAGATGAAACTATTTTTTCAAATGCAATTCTGGAAAGAAACCTCCATTTGGCACTGCCATTCATTGCCAAGACTTCCAAACCTTTTGAAGTACGAGACAAGATGTCTCACTGAATGTCTCCTGGTATGCTGAAAACAGACCTACTGGATCAGTGGAACCCAGCATGCAGCTTCAGAGACCTTTCATTTGCAAGTGTTCTGCTTAGTATTACTAGTATTGTAATTCTAATATGTCACATTTTCTCTATAATAACTTGTGAGACATAAAGCTGTAGTGAAATTCAAAGTTGCACAGAAACAGGTGGAGGCACTTCCATATCAGCAGTCTCTTTCCTAAGCAAGCTATGTCTCTCATTTATTCATATTCACTCTTGCTAGCAATGGATTGATTCTCAGAGAACATCAGAGAATTACCTCCAGGAGTGCACTTAACAAAATCCCTTCCTCAAGACTTACTATATTTGTCTAGAAATCAATATAAAGTAATCCCCAATCAGCAGTTTTTATTGATGTGTGTTCTTAGGAAAGGGGATAGTTAAGAGTACTTACAGCAGACATCAGTCCTCCATCCGTGCAGCTGGATTCCTTTTGCAGCACAAGCTCTCACGTAGGAAGACAGGGTTGCACACAGACAGTCCTCACTGTTTTCACAGTTACATGTGTCAAACATGCAGTTCTAAGAATGCAGAGAAAAATAAAGTCTCAGTACTGGTAATACTGTCAATCTAAAAAAAAAACAACCCAACATTATCTTTCTGGTCTTATGCACTAATCCTTCTTCAGCTATTCTCACTCATAGACAGTACTAACATAGCTTTATCACTTTCCAGTCTGTCTAAGTTTCCTGGCAGGGGAGAATGAAGGTAATGGAAATTCAGTCAGTATTATTTTTACTATTGGGAAATAGTGGGCTTAAAGTCTATTGTACATTTAACAGCTTCATGTTCCTCTGAACCATATTTACAAATATGCTGCACAACAGCATACAAAGCTCTATTCACAGTACACAGTCTAGACACATCATTTCACCAGTGTCCATGCCTGGATGATTCATAGTAAGAAGAAAGATTGGCAACACATTGAGAGCAGAATGATGATAATTAGCTAATGGACTTTCTCTGCCAAGTAGTTATTAATGAGATACGAGGCTGATGAGACAGCAATTCACTGATATTTAGACAAGCATTTCACATGCCTTTACATACACTTCCTACTGTATGTGTATATCCATCCAGGAGTAAATAGCTGCTTTTTCATTTGCAAGCAAGTCAGGATCTTGAAGCCAAGAATGACAAGTGAAATAAGGTAATGTTACAACACAAACAGAAACACATGTTGAAAAAAGGAAGTGCTGCTGTACAGAAATGAAAACACAGGCATCACATAAGACAAAAGACATGACTGGAACAGCCCTTTTCTGGTAGCTAGTTGTAATGATCCTATTTCTATTGTTTGTCAAGGGAAAAACAGTCTAACAAAGTACCATGTGGTAAACAGAGGGATTCACTGCATAGTGACAACCACCAAAAGGTCCTTTGCTGTCCGTTAGTAGTCCACACCAATGCTGAGCATATTTTTCTGTGAAGAGAACAAACAATACAAATGCACATTACTCTTTGCATTTCATTAGTCACAAAACCACACTGCCCTGGTCTATGAAGCCAGTTCTGAAATTACATCAAATCTCTCCTTCTCCTGTCTTTTTTTCACTATACAGTTTCCTTCAGTTATGTTTCTGTGACTCTTCCTTTACTTTGTTACTTATGCTTAGTGCTTTCATTTTGAATATTTGCTTCTGATTTCAGATGTATGTTTTTACCAAGTATATAAGTCTTTATTCTCTTATCTTTGCTTTCCAATGGATGTGTTTTCCTTAGGGATGAGCAAAAAAATCCTACAAAAAATTCTAAGCAGCACGCACCATTATCAATGCTGAGTGCACAAGGGTTCTCAAAACTGCGCTGGATATTAGGGCATGAAGCCTGAGTTCCCCACGTGTTGGCAAATGCTGTTGCTGTTCCTTCAATTATTCCACTTGTGGCCTTGAAGTCATCAGTTTGGATATTATTGAAATTTCCACAGAGACCTGTTGAAAAGCAGTGAAAAGTTTATACTGTTTATATTAGACAAACGATATTAAACAAGATGTTCTTATATTTCATTCACTTACCACAGGTCTGGTCTTTGAAAATAGGATCCAGTCGAACAAACACTTGCATGATGGGTGTGATTTGGATTTCAAGGTGGACACCAAAGTTTGTCTGCATGATGATGAAGAATGATGAAGGTCTGAACACGGTGACATTAGCTACAGATGAAAAACAGAATGATGACTTTCTGAAAGAGGTCGAATGCTGGAAACAGTGCATAATTATACTATTCTTGAATTTCTGTTGCAATTGTTGCAAATTCTGAGGTGAAATAAAGCCAATCTTTATGAAAATGAATCAGAAACATAAATAAAAACTTACAGTTCAGAATTTGCTTGTAACTGTATGGCACTGAGCATTAAAAAGAATACTTCTATTTTTGTTTCTAAGCTTGTACAGCACACATTGGAACCCTCCCTCCACTGGTGAGGGAAAATAAGCAGGTCTGGAGGTCAGAGATAATGCATAGAGTCATTAGTTGTTGAGACAGAGAGCAAAAATCAGATTTCTGTTTGAGGAAGTGTGAGCACAGGGGTGGTAAGTTAAAAAAAAACCAAACAAACAGAGGTAGAAGAGGTAAACAGATGTCTTCTGTGTTCAATTTTGGGCAGTGAGAAGGAAGTGAACCTTACAGTGATCAAATCAGGAGAGTGCAAATGCTGTTCGCTTCTGTTTGAACTCTTGCCTATGCTTGTACTGCCTCCCATTTCTTTATGACACCAAACTTCCCACTTCTACTTCAAAAGCACTTGTGTGACTCAGGAACTATCCCAAAGAGAACCAAGGTGTGAACATGCAGGTTCTGAACAACTCACAGTCCTTTTATCTTCCATAGTTTAAGAAAATAAGCAGGTGTGGAGTTGAAGTTCTGAGCTTATAGCTAACAGACTGTTAGAGAAAAAAATACCTGCTGAGATGGGCAGCTGGGTGTAGATTGAGTTCACAAACACACCACCATCAGGTTTGACCTCGATGAGCTGATAAGGAAGAGGAACAAGAGGTAACTGTGTGTGGAGGATAACTATAGTCCAAAGAGTAATAATGGTGATGACTCCAGTGATATTAATTAAAAAGATATTAAATAAAAAGGGTAGTTTTTTGTGATTTCACCTCCTCCCTCTTTCCACTTTGTACATTTTACTAATTTTCCCTCCCATAAAAGAATTATTTTTAAAGAGACTTTCTCAAGTCCTTAGGGAATGACATCATCTTGGTTTCTTTGAACACATCTTTGTGATGAATTACTGAGTGGTCCCTTACTGTTGTACTTGCAGTTTCTAACCTAAAAGATCATGGGTTTTCCATCTAATTGGCAGAGAAAATAGCTTCTTTCTGATTTGTGAGTACAATGTTTTTCTTAATGAACTTCCACAAAGCCGAATTCATGGCTGATCTGATTTTCATTAAAAAATCAATTTCTTTCCACTTGATTAAAAATAACATGTACTTATTGCATATGCTGACCATTTGAGAGAGAAATGCAGTTCCCTGACTGATTAAGGCCTAGCTTCTTTGCTCCCCATTTTTTCAATACTCATTTCCCATGCTTATTTTGTATTCTTACAGTTTCTCCTTTATTCACGCTGAGGGTCACTGTCTTTAAGCATGTCTCAGTGTCTGTTCGGCCACATTTGCGTAGTTCTACCAGGATGGTGAATGATTCTTCTTTACAGTGCTGAAAAAAAATGCCAACAGTTATTTAATGAAAGGCTAATTACAGAAGCTTTCCCTGTAAAATTTTCTCTCAACTCTGAAAAAATATTTCTGTTTCTGCAGACGATGCAGACTCTCCCAAATCCCAGGCCTTATTTGGCCTAAGATTCAGTTTTGCCTTTTGTAATGATGTAAGGAGAGAATTAGAATCTGGTTTTGCATTTTATTTATGATATCCATATTTGAATTTTTTATTCATGCCCACTTCTAATGTTTGATTCAATTCTACTGCATCTCTCATCTTTCTGTAGCTGGTATCAATGCTAGACAAAAATTTCAGATAAAACATTTTTCAGGAGAACAGTAACATACAGCATTTTTTTTTTTACTGAATTGTGCAGATAGGGAAAAAAGAAAGCAAAGAACAAACAGAAAAAGCCCCTAAAAGATCAAAACATTTCACTTGCGCATTGCTGTAATTAAATATTTTTATTATAATTAACTTCTAATTTTTCTATTTCTTTTGACTTATTTTTAAATCTTTAAAAATGTTCAGAACCTTAATGAAATATATTGGTTGACTTGAACTGATTTTCTGTATTTGAACTTCCCAGAAATGAAATAAAAAAGTTAGTCTTATAAATTCAACTTTTTTTTTTTTTTTCAGAACTGTTAGTGTAATTTTTCAGACTTGTATCATTTGACCCAACACCATACAATACATTAACATGGTAAAAATTATGCATCTCAGTGAGAAAGCTGGATAAATCACACTGAAGAATGTAGACTAAGCAAGTTCTTAAAAAAGGTAATGCTCTTCAGCAATTACTACATCACAGAACTGGAAATTCCTCAGTAAACACCATATACTGTTGCATGACATCCTCATAGTTAACAGATGATTGTCATTTGAATGGCAGCATATGTTCTAGTAAACATCTGGCTAAGGGAGAGGCGATTTAACGTCTGTATGTCAAAAGAGGTAAGTTTCAAAAGTGTTGATTGAGATTACCTTTTCTTTCTACAAACGTATAAGGCTTTATAACCTAGTAAAATCTGATTCCCACCTTAGAAAGGACGTAAGTGCAGTCTCCATGGTGATCATAGTGTTTTTTATCGTATGTGGAAATGTGCGAACCTCCCTCTACTGAACATGTTCCTGGGCATGACATGTCTTGGCAGCTCCACTGGCCTCCATTACAGGTACTGGAAGAGAGAGAATAAAGTTATCGGAAATCAGTAACAGTGGTCCAGAGTAAAAGGAATTACAGTGATATTAGGTTCAACTATTTTGCTTCTGTTTCTCCCTTAAATCTAGGTTTAAGACTTTTCAAAACATTGTGAACATGTGTAAAAGGAATGACTCCGGTATGCATTCACTTTGCTTATTTAATTGTTTTCCTTCTTTGAGCAGCTGAACTCTCCAGCAACGGGTATAGGGTGAGTAATTATTTGTTTTTTGCAGCTAATATAAAGCACAATGACAAATCAAAATCTCTTCTGTTTTGTTATACGAATGTATCAGAAACTAACAGATATGTAACCCCATGTCTGCTCCTGATGCAAAGCATATCTGTTTTCTAAGGTGATGTGGTAGTGCACAGGTACAGGATTAATAATTGTGAAATCGAGGTTGTATTGTGTCATCCCTTGCTTTCTCCAGAGAAAATAAATATTTGCAAATACATAAATGGCTGCAACTTCATTCCCCTTAGAGAAGTCCAAATGTTTGAACAAAATAAACAAAGAGGAATCATTTTAATTGACTGGTGAGAAATCTAAACATTGTAAATCCTTGCTTTGATCACCTTGAGTTAGAGTGCAAAGCTAGTTAAGGCTGTTGCTAAATAAAACAAAGAATGTTCTTTAGGGGTATTTTGGAACTGTAGCGGTCAGTTAAATACACATATCAATTACCAATGATGCAATTGCATATAATAAATCATTAAACTCATTAAATATATGAGAGGAAATAGTAAGTTAAAAAAGTAACAAAGGTTACCAGGAATGGCATTGCTCTGAAAAAGAAGTTCCTGTAGCGTAGGTGTTGCCATTGTAAACACAGGAGCACTGCTGATGGGGAATGCAGCCAGAATTGTTGATGTCATCAAATACATATCCTAGATTAAAAAAAAAAAAGACAAAACCTTGATCAATTAAAGATGCATTTCCTATACACCATTTTTGTTTGTTACAAATCCTAAATATGATCTTAGAGACAGATCTGCAGCTGTTGTGAATGGACATGCCTATGCTGATGACAGTAGGACTATGCCAGTTTGCACAGTGAAGGATTCAACCTTTGTATTCTTAAATTCCACCTGCTTTGAAAGAGGGGCTTACTGTAGCACAGGTGGCTTGTTGAGAGACTGGTTTTGATCTATTTGCTGTTCTGCTTTCCTGCTTTCTGAATATTGCACATGTTTTGGCAATTAATTCAGATATCTTTTCGCAGCTGAGACATGACAAATGCTTGTCACTTGCACCTGTGATAAATGCAAATACAGGAGGCTTAAACCCCATGGAACCTGCCCAAATCTTACAGGTAAGCTGTTGCTGTTCTTTGAGATCATAGACATGAGTACATAAGAACTTGCCTGGGGGGCAGAAACAACCATCCACACAGTGTTCTTCACAAAACTGAGATCGTTCAGGATTGGTGCATGTGTCAGCACAGGGGGAGCTGCACTCCTGGTACTGCATGTTGTAAGGACACTTCTTGGCTGAAATTTTAAAGAGATTTTTTTTTTTCAGTCAAAAGTATTTCTAGTTCACTGTATATGAAAATACTTATATTCATTTAAGTTTTTCAGTAGACATAAAGCCACACTAAACTGCAGATCCACTGCCAGCTCTCAAAATTTCCAGGCTTAGTCACTCAGATCCATGTTTTACAGTTGAGATGTGCTTTCCATGACTGTCTGGTGCTGAACTGGCTCAATGACTGGATTTCTGGGGACAGCAAGGTAATGACCCCACAAAGTCAGCAAGGCCTGTGTTTCTACTGAAGATGCTTTTCTTATGAACACCTGTATTGCTAGTGAAATGTAAGACTTAAGTTCCTAAAGCTTTAATATACTTGCATTTTCCAGATACCATTGGAAGGGCAAATAGTACCTCATGAGGTTTTGTTTTGGAGCAAATGCTGGTGACCGTATCAACAGCTACAACCCATAATCTAATATGTGTTTAATTCAGTGCAAATCTCTATGAAGATTACAGTGGTACAAACTCACTCCCAACCAAGAGGAGATAAATAAGTGCTTAACCAGCCAAACACCTGTGAAGACCCGATCAGTTAATAATTGAGAATAAAAAATGCTGTAGCCACCATGAGAACAGGAGAGAAACAGGAATACAAGCAAGCAAGTACCCCTCATTCTTTCTCCTTTATTTGCTTCCTTTACTGCTCCAGTTCATTAAATAACACTTTGACTCTCAATTAGAGTATCCATGTAAGTCTTTGACCGTGTTTAATCCAGTTTGCATTAAAATCCTTAGCTCTTCTGCTGAAGTGTTCATGCTGGAACTTGTCCATCAGAACCCTCTGGAGAATACAGTCTTGAATGACCTGTAAATTCTCATGCATCCTCAGCATCATTTGAGAGCTTGTTGCTTGTTAGTTACTGAACATAAAGTAAAGCTATCTCCACTGATACTTACGACACAGTTTTGGTGTTCTCCAGTTCAGAGGATGCCCACCAGCATGAGCACACTGCCGGGAGTATTCAGCAAAGGTGTCACAGATACATGAGGCATTTTTAGACTCTTCAGAGCGGCACAAGTCATCTTGGCAAGCCATAATGTACTCTCTAACATCAACTAGGTCATTACACTCTGCAAATGCAGAGCTGGTCAATGTTTGCTGGCATATGTCATCCTTGGGAGAAAAAAAAATTAAACAACTTCCAGAAAATAGAAAGGTGCAATTTTTTTATATTGTTACTTTGTATAATTATTTGTTGATAGAATCTTACATCCCTTTTTAACTTGCTGTTGCCCAAGGGCTTTGCCTGTTGACCCATCTGAAGCTGTAGAAGGGTACAGATAAATTTGAAAGAAAAATAAAAGAATAGTCAAAAGATCCTTACAAAGTTGTCAGTGCAATTATCTGGCAGGGTAGAAGTGGAGTCTTCACAGTGTTCTGTTGGTCCATCCATTTTCTGCATATTCCCAAACTGCAAGGCTGTCATCTTAATATCTGTACAAAAGAAATTTAATAATGAAGGTTGGGTTTTTTTGTTCAATGCAACTGCCTGTTATCTTTTTCTCCTCTCAAGAATTCTGCTCAAGACTGGTTAAGGCAGCTAGTTCCCTTAAGTCTTTAAATTTGATCATCATCCCTTCCAAAGGAAGAACTACATCACTGTCTCAATTTACCTTTGCACAGCACCGTGGAAAAAGTAAACATTAGAAAATTATTCTCAGCCTATTACATCTAGATGCAAACTAAGGTTTCTACCAGAAAAATAACAAACTGTTTTCAGATTATATTGAGCCCACACAGGGAAGAGAGAAAAGAATCTAAACAGGGATTTGGATAATGGAAACTGCTGTGAGACAAAGTTTAGGAAGCTCAAGCTGGGAATAGATAGAATGATGAAGATAAGATCTTATAAAGATTATGCAATTCAGCAGGCAAATGTGGATATGCCAGTTTTAAGACAGAGCTGAAACAATAAATGTACTGACTAGACAATACACTTACTTTTTAAAATTGAATATATTTCTATATTTATTTATGTTATTAGTGAAAATCTGGCTCATTCTTATTGGGTTAGCTGATTAGGTAAATAAAACCATGGCATACAAGAAATATGCAATCAGTTGTTAACACTGGTACTATATTTATACTTAAAGTACTAAATCACATTATCTGATCTCTCTACTACATATTTTTCAACAAAGGTTGAATCATATCTTCTGGGTAAATCATTTAACAGGATAGGAAAGAAGAATGCTGATGATGTTAGAGTTAAGAGAATACAAAAAAAAAGCATGTTGGAGACTACAGAAACCAATTTTTATTATTTAAAAAACTTACTGTTTGAATAGAACTCATTGTAAATTGGAAAGCCATTGAAGTCCCCACAAAGTCCACAGGTTTGATTGGCATATTTCTCATTCAATTCCAGCTAAAATGATGGACAGTAAGTTGACAGAAGTTAGTATAAACATTCTAAAATATATTCAAGACCACTGAAAGCACCTGCACCTGCTGCCTCTAAGTATTTTTCATTAGATCTGTGTAATTTTATTTAACAATCTAATTCAAACCTGGGGATAGAATGAAGAGTTGGCTTGGATTTGATTTACAATGCAGAGTCCAAGCTATTGATGCTACTGATGCAGACTTCAGTTTTCACCACAATATCTATATTGGTCTCAGCTTCTTTCTCTCTATTCATTCTTCAGAAAGAAAATCAAATCCATAGCAAAAATGAAGTCCTAAGAAAGTGAAATTCTGCTAGAAAATGATATTTGAAGGGGTAAGTAGGCCCTACAACAATGTCGATATGTTAATGATACAATGAAAGTGATTTTTCACCCTATTTTAAGCAGACATCTGTTATCCACCAGAAGTAAATCCATATAATCTTCTTTAGGCAAACCTACCTTTATTAAGACAGAATTGCTCAAAAGTATGAGATGGTAAGGCAATAGTAACCTCCTAAACAGACAGGGACTGGCTTAATCAAAGATTAGCTCTGGTCTCTGAAGTTGTAGACAGGTCCAGGAGCAGTTCTTACCAGGATACTGTCATCTTCATTCCACATTAACACAATACCCATTTTGCTGGCAACTTTCACATAAATGCTGCTTTTCTCTATTGTAATTCCAGATTGGCTGTATGGCAGTTGAACTCTGGGAAAAGGCAGAAAGAATGCTAGGTATTTTCTGATCCAGATGTTTGATAAAGAGAAAAAAATGGCTTGTGGTAACCAGCATCTGTAGGGATTCTAAAATAATGCAGTTGTGTGGAAAGAAAAGTGATTAAAAAATAAGATGGTCCAACATCATCAAATATAGATCTGAATTTGGATCCAATCTCTCGGGATTTTTCATCCAAATTTTGTCTTTGAGGTAACACTTAAGGGAAGGATTGATCTACTGTGAAAGGAATTAATAGCAACTTATTGATAATTTCTGTTGGTAAAATTGTCAGATTTATTGAAGAACACATGATTTTTTCCCCACAAATATACCAAACTACTTGGCAAGTTTGAAAAAAAGGCCTGTGTTTACCAAACAAGTGGTGTGAATGAACTTACCTGTTGCTATTGATCATGACAACATCCTTTGTTAGTTCAGCAGCTACACCTTCAAGTTTCATGGTGATACGGTTGATTGTTGGAGCATTTTCTACCACTGTGCGCCTAATCTGGATGTTGAAATCCTCATAGGGAGCATTGCAATGGGATGCAAAAACATAATTACAGAGCCCAGGGAAGGAGAATATGTCTCCGTCAAAGGTCTTGAAGTGGAAGTTGCCCCATGTGCTGCACACACGGCCATTGTGAGCAGGATTGGAAGCTGTGAATTAAAACTAACTGTAAAAAAATGATTTAAAATTCCTAACCTTAACATGGTGAAAATCAACTTATCCAAGACTTCATTTTGTCATTGAATAGTTTTTGCCTGCCTTCATTTGTTATTTTTTATCCATCTATCCATTATAAAACTGTGTATTCATTCTTCATTCATCTTATATCCATTACTCATCTTATATACCCTTATATTACCCTTATTATATACCCTTATATTACCCTTACTATATACCGTTATATACCCTTACCTTATTATATACACTTATTACCCTTATATACCCTTATATATACCTTATAATGGTTATAGTTATGTTCAGCTAGAGCTTTATTATTTGTCCACATTTCAGCTAAGATAACAGTTCAATATTATGTTTCTTAACCACCCTCTTTCTCCTCTTAATAATCCATGACTTCCTTTACCAGTGCCTATTCCTATTTGTATTAGATTCCTCTGTCTACATCCCCTAAAACTGATAACTTATTGAATAAATTTCATTTCCTTTACTTACGTATTATTACTGGATTTGTCAGCATTGGCTGGATGATGTTCACCTTAGATGAAACTGGAGTAGATGCTAGAAAAAAGTAAGAAAGAAAACAAAATCTAGTATAACAATACCAAAATTTGCACCTAAAATTGACTGAGAAAAGACTAGAAAGTTAATATGCCAGATCCAGTGAAACAATGTTAACCCTGTTTTGTTTTATACAGGCCATGGATCAGGCTAAAAGTGAATACTAAAATTCAAAATGGGGATAATTAAATCAGAAGAAATTGCTTTCAACTGTGATGATCTGCATTGTTTATCTTTTAATTTTGACCCCTTAATGAAACTCTATATTGTGTTAGGAGAGGCAGAAATTCACAGCTCTGCATATTGAAGTGCTTCAGACACACTGAAAAATACAAAGGGTTAAGCTGTACTAAATTATCCTGTTACTGGTACAAAAGCATAGTTGCCTTCTTGTTACACCTCCTCTTTCTAAGGATGGAATAAAAACTTTAATTATCCCCTTTGCTGTCTGTTTAATGTTTTTCTATTAAGAGGCTGAAAACCCTTAGAAATGACCAAAAATCCATTGTACAGGATGATCACAAATCATTACATGGTAAAAATCAATGAAGTTGTGTTGCCATCTTGATTCCTAACATCAGCCGCTGAATTTACAGCTTGCCAAAGTGGTCTGATATCCTTGTTTATAAGGAACCAAACATCCCGCGTGTGTATGCCACTTTGATTTTATATATACATATTCATGCACATATGCATACAACCTCTACAAACACACATTTTTTTCTTAGTTACCTATTATTACACAAATATAACCATACTGTGTGTGTTTAGTAATTGGTATCTAATAAAGATATTACTATTCTTATCTCGAGAGAGGCTTGTTAACACACATTTATCTTTATTTGACATTACTGGCAATATGCTAAGGAGGTTTTTTTTTTACATATTTTTATTATTTAGTAGAGATGTAGCAAATAAACACAAATACACAGTATAAATGAACATACTGTTTTGTTTCTGCTGAACAGCCTCAGTGTATTTGCTTCCTGTTTCCTGTTGGATTTCAATCTGGGCTCCTGTGAAGAAATTGTAAAAAGCATATTAAGTACAATGTCCTGTATCTGAACTTTTAAAGCAAAGCATTTAGATAGGATCAAGGGACCCAGATACATCTCTGTAAGACAAAGGGAAGAGTCCTTTATCACATCAGAAAAAACGAAACAGGCCCCCAAAAAAGGTAAAATGTAATTACAGAAAGAGACTTTCTATTACAAATACACAGAGTTTGAAATCCGAATAACATTTAATGTATATCTGCTTTCTTTGTTTCCCTTAGAACTCACTACAAGGGATTCTAATGACTGGATTACAGCCCTCATTTCAGTGCTGCACTAAATCTCACTAATATGTGAAACAATTACAGGAAGAATTCACAAAATGTAAGAGAGTAATTTATTAAAATTGCTGTGTAATAGCTAGGTAATAATAAAAAAAGGCTCAGAACTGGTTAAAAGAAACAACAGACTTAGGGCTTGATTCAGTAATGGCTGCAGATATTTATATGCCTGTTTCTTTAGTGCCTAAGCATAGGCCCTTTTCTTCTGGAGCAAATCTAAAGCCTCAATCAGGGATCTGGATTTGCTTTACAGCTGGATGCAAGAAGGTACTTCTGAGTGACAATACAAGGGCCCACAGCCTGAGCAGTAACGCAGAAGTAACCAAAAGAACCAGGTTTCCTGTTCTACCCCTCTTCTCACTCTGAGATGGTTCAAACTCACATCATCTCTGCGGAAAGCCTTAAGCATCATACAGCAAGTCTATTCGACCAAGGGTTCTTGCTACCCCACCTGAAGCTGAGACACAGTGCCGAAAAGAGTGGGACAGTGACAAAGGAGGAAAAAATAGGCCATGATCATGTGATCATGACTAGGGCACTCAGCTACATCAAAACTGTCCTATTCTTGTGCCTTGTTTCAAGGACTATTTTTGCACCTCCAGTTAAACGGTTACTGGATCAACTACACGAACTGTCTTCCAGATGAGTTCTCCTTCTCTCTATCATGACTCCATAAGTTTTTAATTCCTTTCCATGCATGGCGCAGCAATACCGTACTAGAGGAGGTATTGGCAAATTTTGAGAGATGACAAATATTGACCTGAACACTTTCATGCCTAGAAAAAGACTGAACCTGAGCTCCTAGGTTGGTGCTCTAAGCTCTTGTCTTTTAGAAGTAAATATGGCAGGCATTTCCTGTAAGAGAAAAATGGCTAAAACTATTTTGGGAAGGCTGAATCCTGTCAGCATGTGATAACCATGCTTGGAACATGTTGACTAACATATTCCTATAACCTGCTAAGCCTAAATCCTCAAAGGATTTAGGTGATGAAATGACTAAAATCTGAATCCTGATCAGAATTACGTGAATGAGCACTCTAGGTGTCTAGAGAATTTCTGAGTCAGAGAAACTGTTTGTGTAATTTAGTCCTAAATTAATCCCCCTTTTTCCTTATACAATAGGTGGGAAGACTTCACTGACTCAGAACTGGATCCATAACACCTATCTCACTGAACAGGGAGCCATATTAGTGGAAGAAGGGGAAATGCCCAAGTCGGGGGTGTGCCATAAACCCCAGTCCCCTTTGGTCCTTACATTCCTTGGTGAGCATTTCCTCCACTTAGGAACCTCAGCCCAGATAGATACCTCCATGAAAGCTGGACAACTACCTTTGCCTTAAAAATAACCAGATCAGGAACACCTTTTTTAAAAAATTATTTTTCTAATGTAACTTCTGTCTGCGCCCACAATATAAGCCAATTGAGTACTTGATCCCAGAGCTGAAGGATGCCTGCCCGAAGGGATTCAAGCCCCCACTCCCAAAGAGGTCCCAAGAGACTGCTGGCTTTGGAGGAGAGAGTTCTGGGCAGCCTCACCATATCTAGGAGTTGTTGCAGTGTCTGCAGTTTCTTTCAGACCTAAGCTTTTTATTCTTTTCTATTTAACTTCATGTGTGACCACTAGTGATGTACAAAGAAGTAACGTAGGACAGAATTTAACCATTTTCCATTTCCTGTTAATCTTTCAGTATCACAGATAATATCATTAGGTAAATACAGTCATATCATTATAAATTATACTGATCAGGTGAGAAAAATTGGTACTGATCAGGTGAGACAAATGCCTCTAAGTCTTAATAATAGTCCAGAATTTGTTCTCACCCAACACATGTATAGGAATCTCAGCAGGCATACAATCATAGAATGTTTGTTTATTTTAGCATGAGAACCTTTATAACAGAGAAAAATATCATATACATGTATTAGGTATTGGAACAGACTGCCCAGGGAAGTGGTGCAATCACAGTCCCTGGAAGTATTCAAAAAACATGTGGATGTGGTGCTTAGGGACATGGTTTAGAGATGGACCAGGTGGTTAGGTTAATGAATGGTTTAGAGATGGACCAGGCAGTTAGGTTAATGGTTGGACTCGATCTCAGAGGTCCTTTCCAACCTTAATCATTTTATGATTCTGTGATTTTGGTCTGTTAATTTTTCTCAAGGAAATAGCAGGGGCTTTTGTTTACTTAGCAAATACATCATACCCAAGGAAATTCTAGCTGCATTGGTTTATTCAGCAATTGCACAATACAACATTGTTGACCATTATGAAATTAAGTGTCTCTCAGTTGTAAGAATAGTCAAGATCATTTACTATTTGATAATTTGGGAACAGACCTAATTATCAAGAATATTTCTGGATGCACCTTGCTACATCTATATCCAGCTGCCAATCCACATATGCAGTTATCGTTACAATCAATTTATAAAAGTTAGTATTTGACCTAAAACATAAAGTCAGGCACAGAATGTCTGCGGAGATGGCATGGGACTGGGCCAATATTATTTAGTCACTCAGGACACCTGAAAATATTTTCCACAGAATGTGATTCAAATAAAGAGGAGTTTGCTGGACACTGTCTAACCACTACTCATTTTTCAAAGCAATTTATCAGATTAACATTGCACAGTACAAATAACTTTCTTGCTCAATGAATGGCTGAAGATGCTTTTGACTGACATAAGCAATGCTTTTGACTGACGTTGACTAAACATAAGCTTATACTCTGACTGTTGTATTTTGTGCTTAAATCAACTTGCCAATATTTTAGTGTTTATTTCACAAACTGTAAAGTAGCCTAAAATTACATTTGCACTTGTCAATGTTTTGATAATTATATGCAAGATAAATTTACTTAGGCAATCTGAAGATTTAAAAATGTTAGCTGACAGGGCAGTAATTACTGTACATGAATGGGACTGACTTAGCAAGCTTGTACTCATGCAAGTAATTTCAATTTGAGCGGTCCCATTGACATAATAGGGCTACTCATATTAAGAAAAACTGCCAAGACCAGCCCTGATGGATATAATATTGACAGGAGAAAAAAAAACATCCAAAATGATGGATTGCATGTGTCAGATAAACCTCCCAGTCCTGCTCACAGTCAATATCAGTGATTTATATAAATATTTTGCACAGGGTGTTATCAATGCACAATCAGTTACTGAAAATCATTGCCACATGAATATTCACTTCTAGTCTCTTTTGCAAAAGAAATTGCAAGAAATCTTGAGGAATCTGGTATTAGCTCGTGGTAAATGACAAGATACTGGAAAAGATTGACCAGTGGTCTGATCTAACAACTGGAAAATGTAGTGTTTTAAATTTCATAAAAACCCGTAACATTCATAATCAATCCTCAGACAAAATGCAACAGGAATAAAATGCTTTTGTAAGGCATAAGCAATACTGAAAATCTGACATTTTAAGACATGAATAATGGTTCTTTTTGATTTGATCTTCAACGCTACCTTCCAAATGTAGTTGTATGCAGTAGTTTGAGGCAATATTAAATTAAATCAGTCCAGTTAATAGACAGACATTAAATATTTAATGAAAATTGAAAAAAATAGGTATAAAGAAATCTTGTTTTAAATGTAACCATCTGTTAAGGGAAACAATAAAATTAGTATAGTAGTTTAAAATATATTACTAGATCTCAACAGAGTATTTTTTCTTTTCCCAGTAAAAAAGAGAACTTCTTACCTATCTGATGGATACAGCAAACTGCTAACAGGAAAGCCCATTCTGGTACCTGTATCCCCATGCCAAACCCCATCTTGAGTGGAGTCTGGCACAAGGATGTCGGGTCTAAAGTTGGTCAGGAGGAGTACTTCACCGGTGCTCTGTCAGTCTTATATAGTAGGTGCCTTTGGCTTCAGTCCCAGATTGATTCAGAGAGTCTAGAGAGGTGGAGTTCGGGGGATTTTAGCAAATGAGCAGGTAAATAGAGGATGCTATTCCTTCCTCAGAAACTAGCCAATGGTATTTGCATTTTAGGAGGAGTATAGACATATACCTACATATATTTTGTTAAGGTTCAGTCTAATAAAGAAACATAACATGATTGCAAATAAAACACAACTTCTCCTCCACAAATAACAGGTCCTGGAACAAATTTAATTTGGTGTTTCTTTATAGTTATGCAGATGGCATGTAAGTAACTATTCAAAGTTTTTCTATACTGAAACTGATGCCAGGCAGCTCCTTGGCAAAAAGCCCTGCTGATTTCTGAAGACTGAGGAGGTGTGGAGTATTTCATATGTAGGGATCCAGCATTAGGAAGTAATTTTGTGCCTCTTGGGGTAGCTAATCTTCTTGTAAAAAGAACAGACTAATAACCTTGAAGGGTCCTGCCCTATCACGTGGCCACACTGAGTGTATGCCATGGAAACCCTTCTGTGGGGCACTAACAAGCATTAGGCACCCATCTGAGGAACATTAAGCCGGCTTCACCTAGATTGTATCCTACATTTATTAGAGATGGACTTAAACCTTGAAATCTGCTTCTGAATTCTCTGCATAATCCGATTTTGCCTTCTCATAGAAAATATCAGGAGTCATTTCAGACAGTCAGACAGCCTTACACCAGCTTTGTAGGACAAAAAAAAAATTTAGATTTATTATGGCCTGCAACCATGATCACACTGTTTCAGTATCATTCCTATGTAATTCCA